AAGACATGAGCAATGCTATCGATGTAGATAAAAATACTTTTATTTTTGTATTTTAAATTCCTGTAATACATGAAGCAAACTTCATTGAAGCTGATATTTTATTTTATGTTATTAGTTTCTATCTCGAATACTTTTAGTCTTTAGTAATTTTAATATTTATATTTAATATCTTAAACAATAAAACTCTATAAAATGATGATGATGTTTTTTTTTGTCAAATTTGATGTTTGTTGTTTACCAAAGTAGTGTATTTTAAAAAGATATTTACTAAAAGGACGTAGTTTTAAAAATATTTACCATTTAGGTTAAATTTTATACTAAATCAAAAATTAAAAGATAAAATAAAAAAGAAGTGAAATTGAGTCATCAGAGTAATTATTTTTTATTTTGTTCACATTTAAGTAACTTTTTGAAACTTGTTGAAAGTGTTTACATATGACCATTATGACCGAATATAACGTGTCATAATAGTTATATGTGAACACTTCCAAGAAATTTGTTATCTAGATGTATAAAAAAAATCTACATGTAAAGAATACAAAAAGATAATTCCTTTGACTATTCAATTTAGCAACTATTATAGTAATACTTAAAAGTGTGGAAGATATATATGAAAATTTCGGTTTTTTTTTTTAATAGAAAACGTGCTAATAATAATAATGTGTTTTTAAGTAGGGTCGGGTTCCACAGGTATACCCGGTTGGAAGCGATTTTCAATCTCCCGCCCCTTTCCCATCCCTTTCCATGACCCTCTGGCTTCTCGGAAACTCACAAAATCCACAGAGAAATCAAATCAGCAGGAGGACACAAAAATGGAAATGGAGAAAGATAGTCGTGAAATTGGAATTGGTTATCGACACAAAAAGTTGGAAACGTCGTTTAAGCTTGGTCTACACGGCCTCCTCACCACTTGCTCCAAAGAGGTAATAACCTTTTGCAATCAATCTATATGCATCGATTTGCATTTTCTTTCTTACACAAACCACTTTTTTCACTCTCACACCTCGTCAATCCTGCTAACACTTCTGTTGCTTTAAAATTGAACGTTTTGCTTTGAGGTCAAACTGAATATGCCCTAACATATAGTACAAATTATAACAAAAAAAGAGACTGATGTGACTTCTAAATTTAAAACTTCTATTGCAACAAGGAGTCTTTTGGTTACAGGAGGGAGTAAGTTGTTGATACCCTAAGTGTGAGGAGACTTATTTCGTAGGTCGGAACTGGGAACTAAGGAAATAGAAACTAAAATTAGCAAATAATGCCAAAGGGGTATACTTATTTTGGTTAAACAAGTGCTGAATGAGTTCTTGATGAATGTCATCTGATTCTGTGCATATACTCCTCAATTAGGCTTGATTAAGTCCACAAGAATGTACCATTGGATGTTGTCAATGTCAATAAATGTAATGTGGGGAAATGATAGGCATTGCAAAGAGCCATTATTCTGTGTTAGTCTATATTATTCAAATCTTCTTTCATAATCGTATATTCTTTGTCTCACATTGGTAACTTAGGGTTTTTTTTTTTGTTGTTTCTTGGACCTCGTATAGAGGCTGGATATTTTGTTTGTGGTTTAGTTTTGAGATATTTTATTTCAGAGATATTTTGTATTTTTGTTCTTTGATTAGATGCCAAGTGTCTTGTCTTGTGTGTGAAACGTAAGTTATCCTATGATGATAGAGATAACTTTCCTAGCCCTCTGAATTGCTTTGATCAAGAAGACAGTTTGCTAGGTGAAATTTTTAATGAGAATTTTTTTAGACAGAAATTTCATTTTAGTGTTCTGTTTTTTGTTGGAATTTTTTAAAGAGAAGTTGTAACTCTGAGAAATAGAGACAAGGCAACAAAGAATAACTGAATTAATTTAATTTGAAATAGAAAGAAAAAAATCACCTAGAACTAGAATTAAGCAACTACATGGCCAATGATTAGATGATCTACAATCTCCTAAAACATGGTACTTCCATTGTCTTGTTTATAAGAACATTATACTTTCATTTTTTCCTATTACAACATCGTACTTTGAAAAACTTTCAAACTAAAGTAATGTCATTCTGATACAAAACAATTTTCATTTCTATACAATGCTAGAAAAAGGTACATTTTTAACAAAAAAATGGGTTGTCCCATAATGGTCAATATTTTTTGTTTTTTGTTTTTTTAATATTTTTTTTATCACTTATTCAACATTTGTTTGTGTTTGATACTATATACCAAAAGGAGTTCTGCAAAAGATTTCCAAGATTTACCCAGGCTGAACAAGAGCGTCTTCATCGGCTATATATCAAGGTACAAATATTTAAATTTTATTTTGTGAAATACTATATTATACATAATAAAATGAAAAACCTGTGGATGTGTCATGTGTGGTCCCACATACAAAACATCTTCTAGGCTTTCTGTTTTTTGTAATATTCTGCAAGTCACTCAGATTTTCGGTTAACTGCTGATTTTTTTTTCACAGGTTATTGTGTCATTGCATCAGAATATTGAGGTATAAGTTTTTTATTTCCAATGTCAGCTATTTTCTTATAGGATTTTATCAGTTTATTATTAATAAGACGTGTTAGTACAACTTATTGGAAACTATATATTATACAACTTTCTTTTTGGAAATATAAATTAAGACAAAAGTGTATTATGCTTTTTTTGATTTTCATAGATATTTCTCCCCAAGTGTTGACATCATTATAACTATAATCAAGGATAAATAAGCATGTATGGGCACAAGGAAACTAATCATATAGAAATATAAATTACGTCTATACTCTGCAATTCATAGTTTTAAAAGATTTATTTGGATTGCATGACATATATAATATTCATTATTGTGGCTTTCTTAAGGCCTTGATTAATTTGTTTATCATGGATTTCTTAATAGCTGATTGAGTTTTTAGGTTTTCAAAGTCTAATAATGGCTTGTATTGCAAATTATTTACAGGATGAGTTTGAAATTCTGTGTGAGGAGACCAAGGTATTCTTGATTTCTTTCAAAATGGGTCAAATGCAAGAAATAACATTAACAATGTACCTTACATTTATTTGTTTATTGTTTTCATTTCTTCATATTACAACATTTTACTTTGAAAATTTTACCCAATCATACTCATATTCATAGCAATGTCATCCTGATCCATACACAGCAATTTTCACTGCTATAATTTGGTAGCTTTTTCAAAGGATAATATATCTTAATAAGAAAAAAAATACAATGCTATAATTGAGTAAAATTTTCAAAGTACATTGTCTTAACATGAAAATTTTGAAATTATGAGGTTGTAACAGAAAGGAATGAAAGTAAGATGATATAATAAACAAATCAGTGGAAGTACATTGCTATTTCTTGCATTTAACTTTAAAAAAATTCATAGCAATCACTGGTGTATTAAATTGAATTGGAGCATATTGTGCTAAGTTTTGTTTGGTTGCAGGTGGGAAACATTCTTGATATCGTGGAGGAACTTGTAGAAGAACAAACCCTGGATCCTCTTTATCCTCATAAGTATGCATCTGCTACTTTCCTGTATTTATATTCATTTACCTATAATAGCAAACTACTTTAATTTTTACTTATAATATCAACATACTTGTATTTTTTTTTTCTTTTTATTCAACATCAGTTCTACACAGAAGGGCTAAATGGTCAATTACTCACTCTCATTCAGTTCAACAAAGAAACACAGTCTCTGTATTCATACAATACTTAATCCAGACATACATTATTTATCTACCTCTTCAGCACTTTATCCATACAACACAACACAACACCTGATGAGAAAGAAATAAAAATAAACCCTTAAACCAGTAATTAATTATATATGGGTGTTTCTTGTTGACTCAATGCAGAAAGAACATAAGTTTTTTACAAATTTGCCCTCATTAATTTTGTCAGATATTTTTTGAACATCATTCGTTAGTTGTTATAAAATTGTGATTTCCAGGTCAAATTTGAAAGACGTTGCACAAGTGTTGTCCACTATAAAAAAGAATGAGATCCAAAAGCTTGCAACTATGCTGGAAAAGGTTTTGTTAGTTTCTACCACCCTTTTACATATTATGTAGGCCCCACCCTGATTGTTACACAGGACAAGACAAGACAATACAGTTTTTGTCTCAATCCAATGCACACCAAGCACAATACAAATGTCATGTCATGTCATGTACTGCATAACATTTATTTGTTTTTTAATGTGATAAGTATTTATACGATTGTCATTAACAAGACAAGCTTATTAATGATTAAGTTTGAAAGTGAAATTACTATTCTAGACAGAAGCTGAGAATGAAGTCTTGAGAAGCCGTGTTGAACTCTTACGGAAACAAGTACAAGGTGCATCAAATGCTCTTGAAAAGGTACCTTTGTTTTTTGTTTTGTTTTGTTTTGTTAATCCTAGAAGTGTTAAATGCAAGAAATAGCAACGTATTTTCATTTGTTTGTTCATTATAGCATCTTACTTCTATTTCTTCTTATTACAACATTCTACTCTGAAAAATCTTTCCATTATTTTATAGCAATATCATCTAATTCACTTCTATTGCTGGCTATAATAGAAAGAAATAAAAGTACATTGCTATTTTTTGCATTTACGCTTCTTAATATGCCAATAGTTTTTCTTTAAGATGATGACATGTTTGGTCATATTCGTATCTTATCTTTTTTTCTTCAGATGTAGATGGGCATGTGATTTAAGGAACAAAAAGTTGCTACCAAAGCATCAACATTCAACACTTCTTGTGTGAAATGATATTGTCCTTTGTTGTTTCAAACAATACTATTGTTTCCTTGTTTTTACTTGAGTCCTATCATGCTTGATATTATGCTTTGTTCTAATGCTTTTTCACAATTTTCATTGATAATGTGGGCCATTGGTTCTTTCGAGTCTAAATAGTCTCATTGGAGAGAAGTAGAAGAATAGGAATTTACTTACATTTATTTACTTATAATAGCAACCTATTTTCCATTTTTTTTTTCAAATGGATAAAACCTCCAAATCTTTTCAAGCACAAGTGGAACTTGAAGTTTTGTATTTGATAATCTTATGTACAACTAACATTGCCGGAATTTGCCCTTCTAAACTAAAATATTTTAAATATATTGTTATTATGACTGTTAATAAAAGCTTATCATGTTCCAAATGCTTATCACAAAAGTAGAGATTATTTGTTAAGCTTTTTCTTGACACCTAATCTCCAACTCATTAATCCAAAAAGCCAAAAAAAATAAATCATCAAATGAAGAGCTTTTTCATTAGCTTATTTATAGGACCCAATGATTTTTATTTGTATCATTTTATTGTTTTTATATAATTTGCGCATTTAACAAATGGTTGAAAGCTATGTAAATTAACAAGTTTTTTTGAGTAAACCATATCAGAAAAACCTACTACATGGGCGATAAAGCTTTTTCGTTTTGGAAAAGCTCCTAATTTGGATGTTCTAAGGGATACAGTAGTTTATATACAAAGTAAAACAAAACAAAAAAGCAATATATTTCGGTGTGGATTAAGAATAAAAACCAATTGAAGGGAACAAATTTGTATTACTTTTTATGAGAAAACTGAAGCATATGGGGATAAAGCGATGTATATAGATGAAAGTGTCGAGTAAAAAAAAGATCTCGGAAGCTTTTCTCTAATATATTATCAGAGCCAGGTTTCGATCCTGGGACCTGTGGGTTATGGGCCCACCAAGCTTTACTCTGATTTATAATACTAGTTTATAAAATAATTATTTATTCGTATTTTAGACCCTCCATAGGTAATTACTATTTTAGACAGAAGCCAAGAATGCAATCTTGAGAAGCTGTGTTGAACTCTTACGGAAACAAATACAAAATTTCTCTGGTGCTTCAAATTCTTTTGAGAAGGTATCTTGTTTTTTGTTTTGCTATGTTAATCTTAAAAGGGTTAAATGCAATAATAGCAACACACTTTTATTTATTTGTTCATTATAGCATCCCACTTCTATTTCTTTTCTTATTACAACAGTGTACTCTGATAAATACATTTATAGCAATATTATCTAATTCACTTCTATAGCTAATAACAGCTGTATAAATACAATGATATAATAGAAAGAAATAAAAGTGCATTGCTATTTCTTGCATTAATTGTATTTCTGTAAGATGACATGTTTGTTCATATTCATATCTTATTTTATTCAGATGTAGACGGGCTTATGAATTAAAGGAACAAAAAATGGCACCAAAGCATCAACATCCAACACTTCTTGTGTGAAATGATATTGTCTTTTGTTGTTTGAGACAATTAACAACAATACTACTATTGCCTTTTGTTTCCTTGTTTTTACTTGAATCCTACCATATTGATGCTTTGTTCTAATGCCTTTTCACCTTTTTCGTTGTTAATGTGGGTATTGGTTTTTTGAGCCTAAATAGTCCCATCGGAGAGAAGTGAAAGAATAGCAACAACTTTCATTTTTTTTTTCTACCCATGATAGCAATAGGTAACATGAACCTTGTAATATGCTTACAAGTATTAGATTACATATTGTAGCAACTCTAAAATTTGTTGCTATTTTCTATAGTCTGCCTTTTTATTTTCAAATGGATAAAACCTCTAGATCTTTTAATCAATCACAAGTGAAACTTGAAGCTTTGTATTTAATAATCTTATGTACAATTAACATTGCCAGAATTTGCTCATGTAAACTAAAGTATTTGAAATTTATTGTTATTATGACTGTTAATAAAAGCTTATCATATTCCAAACGCTCGAAATAGCAGAGCTTATTTGTTAACCTTTTTTTTTTTATTACACCTAACTTCCAACTCATCAATCAAAAAAACTCAAAAAATTTCATCATATGAGAGTTTTTCATTAGCTTATTCATG